GTCTGAGGTTTTTAGAGTGAAATACTAGCTCCTAATGTTTCTAGAAGCTGCTGCAGAAGTTGCTTTGCATCTCTTTGTTTTACAGATTGGTGCAGATGGTCATAACTCTATGGTCCGGAAGGGAGCTGAAATTAAGAACATCGAACATCAGTATGACCAGTCAGCTGTGGTGGCAACTCTGCATTTATCTGAGGTAAAATTCTGCTAAACTGACTCTTCCATAAGCAATAGAACCTAAGAGGGTGATCTGGCTTGCTGCCCACTTGCTTCTTTCCACTGCAGGCCACAGACAACAATGTAGCATGGCAGCGGTTCCTTCCCACCGGGCCAATTGCGCTTCTTCCGGTAAGGTGTCTGCATTTCTTTAAAGGTTTTAAAATATTTTTGTAGTCTAGTAAATTTATTTCTGTCCATGCCTTTCTGTGTTGGTTCTGTCTCTTAAGAATTTGCACATCTGCCCTTCACTCTTGATTTATTGTGTTTTCCTGCTCCTGCTGTCTCACTCTATCCTTGGCATTTCCCACTTGTAACAAGTTGGGCAGGAACTGTAATTTTCAGAGGGACTGATGGTGTGAGACAGGGCAGTGGGGAAGTCTTCGCACTGAATATTTATTTTTGTTTCTTTTTCTCTTGATATTTACCCTTGACATTCTCCTAAACTAGCTGTCTGACACTGCCAGCTCTCTGGTCTGGTCTACATCTCATGACCATGCATCAGAACTTCTCGCTATGGATGAGGAAAGCTTTGTGGATAGCATCAATTCTGCCTTTGTAAGTATCAGCCTCATGGCAAGAAACAGACTTTAAGAAACAGAACGGAATTCTGTAGCTTAAATGACAGTAATGGGAGAGGTGGATTCTGAAGTTCCTTCCTCTGGTGAGAATGATACTAAAGAGGCACCTAGCAAAGAAAAGATGACCCCTTGGGACTGAATTAGGTTAGTTCTGAAAGTCACAGAAGTTAACCTAAATTTCCAAAAGGTAGGAAGAGTATGCTCATCCTAGCTGGAAATTTGTATGTCCTAAAATGGCGAAGATAGTTTTTACTACTGTATAGTTTTTTTCCAAGTGGTTAAAATTCAGTATTTGGAACTCAGATTTTTTTTTCAGCTGGGTTCTTTTATGGGTCTAGTTTGGGTCAGCTTCCAAAGATTTGTTTGTCTGTTTCAGTGGAGCAACATAAACCACTCTGACTTCATTGACACTGCTGGGGCCCTGTTCCGTTCTGCCATTTCGTTCCTGAAGCCCTCAGGGACTGCAGTCCGTCAGCTGCCCCCAAGTGTTGCTAAAGTAGATCCAGAGAGCAGAGCCATGTTCCCTCTCGGCGTGGGCCACGCGACCGAGTACGTCCAGCACCGCGTGGCGCTTATCGGGTAAGGCGCTCCGTGGCTGCCCTTGGCCGAGCGGGTGGCGTGCGCTTAGAAATCATGTGAGAACAGCAGCTCCCAGTCAGCAGTTGGATGTTAGAAATGATACATTGTTCCAGTTTGACTTTACCCAGATCTGGTTTGTTCTGTGTGCCCTCATGTCCATGTGTATGAGTAGCTTTATGCCCATTATCTGTGCTCCCTGTATAAATTGAAAGATACTTATTTCCCTTTCCTGGTTTGTACAGTCCTGTGAAACAATCCAGTATCTCATGCTGGATCTGTACTTCCCCTTATGTTATACCAGCCATTCTGAGCACCACTTTGAGTTTTAAACTCACCTTTTTTGAACACAAATGACAAAATAGCAATCTTTGTCTTTAAGCTTTACAGATAAGTCTGTTCATAGAAGAACCCGATTTTGTTATTACTCATGTGGAATGTCAGAGACTTTTGTATGGTGGCCCATTCAAACAGGAAAATACCTCATTTCTTATATTCTAAGGTCACATGTACTTTCTTCTCTGCCCCAGCTGCAGTGTGGTGGTAGTTTTTTAGTAATTCTTGGATGCTGTGCTGCACTTTTGTGTGGTACACTTTTCATCTTTCCAACCTATGAACCACTCTATGCTTGGGAGCATGCTATGCTTTATAGCTTGGTAAAGCACATGATCTTGCATTTTATATCAAAACTTCATTTAATTTTTCTAACTTTGTGACTCCCATAGCAATGTTTGTCTTTAAGCTTTACAGATAAGTCTGTTCATAGAAGAACCCGATTTTGTTTCTGTTCAATGATAATCCCACCTCTCCTTTATACTCATGATGTCTGTCCACTTTGTGGTTGTGCAGTGTGCCATTGACAGTGCTCCTGCTGTGCTGAGGTCACTTAAAAAAAATAAAGGCCTGTTCCACGTGTGATCTGAGAGGACTTTGACTAGTCACCTCTTTATAATTTTTCCTTTCAGACCTGCTTTTTGTTACCTCCCCTATGTCTTGCTTGTTACAACTGGAGAGGCAGTCAGGTAGTTCAGCATAGCATGCAAGGAGGTACTGGATAAAGTGCATATGCTGCTCTAAGGTGGTTCATTGCAAAGAGGTGAGGAGTGCTACACTGATCCCTTCTGGGGTTTGTCAGCTACTGTGGCTTTCTTTAAGAAGGGAAAGAAATTTCTGTCTTCTCTTATTTTAGGGATGCAGCACACAGAGTCCACCCACTTGCAGGACAAGGAGTGAACCTGGGCTTTGGTGATATTGCATGTTTAGCTCATCACCTCAGTGCAGCAGCCTTCAACGGGAGCGATCTGGGTAAGGCTCCAAGCCAACACAGGGGCAGTAAAGGATTAGTCTTCCAGGCCTTTGCTGCAGTACTCTGGTTAAGCATGCAGCTGTCTTGTGTTTGAAAGCTTTGTTGAAGCGAAGCAGTTCACAATTCTTGGATGCAGTTTCCATCCCACAAATTTAAAGCTGCTTAAAAAAAAATAAAGCTCTGCAAGATGGCAGTTAGAAATGTGGTGAGATGAGAACTAGCTGGTGGAAAGAGGTCTTTATTGAGATGGACCACTTGTCTGTTCTCCTTCAGTTCCCAGACGAAACTGCTCTATAGATAAGATGCACAATTGTTTGTGGCACATCAAAAGTAATAGAAACATTCAATTATCTCTTCCAGGCTCCTTAAAACACCTCCTCAAGTTTGAAACAGAACGTCAGAGGCATAATGTCTCCTTGATAGCTGCCACTGATGTGCTAAAAAGGCTGTACTCTACCACACTGGCACCTCTGGTGTTGCTGAGGACATGGGGATTGCAAGCAACAAATGCCCTGCCTCCTGTCAAAGTAAGGATCTCACTTCAGTGAGGGCTGTAGGAATTGTCCAAAATTATAAATGAAATATGCACAAGATGCAAAGATCTTTGTTTTAAATGAAACATTTTTTGTTGGAAAATACTAGTTTAAACTGAGGGGTTTGTGTCCTGAATGAGACTGGGGAGTTCCTAAATAACTGATGACTCAGTAGTGACTTGTTTTTTCCCACTCGAGCACAAGGGAATATGAAAGATCTAAGTGTTTTATATTCTGTATCAGTAATTAGGAGTTAGAGGTCATCAGAAGTCTTTGACTTTATTTTGCTATGAAATTAGTGTCAAACCTTGAATTGTATTCCAGCAATGCACAGAGAAAACAGGCCTGTGAAGACACATCTTCACTAAGAGATTGGGTGACTTCCCAGATGCAGTGTGCAGCCCACACATAACTGTTTCTGTGCTGTTTTGCCTCGTGAATTGTTCCCTCATGGCAGAAGTTCAAGTCTCTAAAATGGAAATTACCTGAGGAAGGCAGTGGTGAGGAGTTTCTGTCTTAGAGCCTCTGTTTGCAGCTTATCTGCCTGAACTTCTCACCCTCTTGACATAGTTGCTGGATTTTTGTGAGGATCCTTAAGCCCTCTGCTCTCAAAGCTCCCAAGCACCAGCAAGTTAGATTCTCATCTTTGGATTTCAATTTTTATTTCATTTATTCTCCATCTTCATATTAAACACAGGTGCCCTGTTTCCCTTGTGTCATGGTCACAGTTGAGACACTTTCAATTGAAAATCGGTACATTCCTAAGGCAGAGCAGCTGCTGCTGGCACAGTGTCTTCATTAAGGAAGACTGTGCTGCTGCTTCAGTGCTCATAAGTTTTTTTTTTCTCTTTTTCTGTTTAAAAAAAATAAAAACAACAAACCAAGATGTCTTTTCTGAGCACAGAACCCATTGGTAATACCAGTTTTGTACTACTTGGGAAGGACAGGAATGCTACGATTTTGTTAATTTTCTAGGACATAGGGATAGGTTCTCTGCGTGTGGCTAGAAAGACTGGCCAAGAATTGTTGTTCATTTATATGAAAGGGAATGTGCCTAAAGGTTTTTTCCTAAAACACATGCTTATGAATTACTTCTCTTTTTCTTCTCTTTTAGGAGCAAATCATGGCTTTTGCCAGCAAGTGATCTGTTGTCAGTCTGCCTGTCAGCAGCTTGCCTATGAATGCATTGCCCTTAAAAGGACTGTGACTGACTTGAGTATTTGAATTTTTATTTTAATTTTCAATAAAACTGAGGGATTGAGCTGTGTATTACACCATCCAGTGGTTTATGCAAAAGTTGTCGCATTTGCCCTCCTCAAGAGGATTTAGGGTTTCTTTCCATAGTACCATGATGTCTTCAGCCACAGAACTAAGCGTAGTATGTGCTTTTAATTTGGGCCTCCTGAATTGAAGATTGAGGTGCAAACAGCTGTCTGTCTTTTGGCAAACACAGTGCTGAATTTTGCCAACTGCTGGCTAATTTTTAACAGCTTTTGCCACTTAATTACTTTCAGTTTCTTCTGAGATGATTGCTAGAACTGTAACGTCACTCCTGTGTTCTTGGCACCTCAGCTCAGACAGAAGGGGTAGTTTGCAGCACAGGGAAACAACGCATGGTGGCAGATATATTTTAAAACTCTGTTGTTCTTTCACCCTTTTCCCTGCCTTTCTCTTGGTGCTTTATTTAATAATGGTGTTTCTTGTGGAAATGGCTAGTATTAAGGGCTCCATGGAAAAGATACAAGGCAACAGTAATATCCAGGAAAGAAAATTATACCACAACATCTTGAATATTGTTAAAAATGCTTTAATTACTAAAATAGACAATTCAAGATATTCTGTCTTCGGTTCCAAACACCAGCCTCTTGCATTAGACATTTGCCACTCACAAAATTAAACTAAACACTGCCCATGGACAAGATTTACACATATGGGTGACCAGTATCAGAAATTAAGATCAGAAAGAATGAAATGTAAGTTTTGAAGTGAAAGCCATTACTTGTGCTTCTGCAGTCACTCATATTAGGCAGTTCTTGTTAGTGGCTGGCTCAAAGACATTACAAAGGAGGAGATAAAAATCAGGGCTGCAAGTAGAGCTCTTCTCTTAAAAGGCTGCTTGTTCTTTAGTTTAGCTAATAAATTATCTCATTGCACTAGGGTAAGTGTGAGGACTTGACTGGGTTGTCCAGATCCCCCCACCCACTTGGGTTCAGATGTAAACAGCAGGGGCTCAATTCCGCAATTTCTTGCAAAAATAAACCTTTTAATAGAGTTCTTGTTTCTCCCATAACTGAAGGATCATGCTAGTAACAGAGAGCAGAAGTTCTGCTTCAGTTAATGAATTGTGCCACTGACAAATGAAGGCCCTGAGCATTCAGATTAAATGCAACTTTGGTACTGGGAAGCAGATGCTTCCCCCCTAGCATTTGTAGTACCAGAGTCTGAGGAAAAGAATGCAGAAAAAACAACTTCCTCTGCATGGTACCCTTCTTCAAGCCCCTCCTTGCTTCAGACAAAACCCAACCCTTGAGCCCTCCTCAGGGCTAGTGTGTTTTCAGGGGGCAGACAATGCTGCTGCTTCTCCCTTAGGTAGAGCATCCCACCTTCAAAACACAGCCTCACTGCTGCCAGCTCTTAGCCCCAAGATCCAGTAAGAGTTTGTCATAGCACTGGCTCAGACTGAAGGATGATTTCTGGATTATTAAATTAGCTTGTTCTCAGGATAATGCAGCCTGGTCAGTAACCACTGCATCCTACTTCATGTTTTCTGAGAATACAGAAGTGTTCACTGAAGCCAAAATGAATGCATTTGCAGTCACCTTGTTCTGCAGACCAGACCATATATGAAGTTTTGCTAACAGTAGGAAGAGGAATAAGAAATGTTTATGGTTGAGAAGAGGCTACAATTTCTTCATATTCACACAGAAACTTCTAGAGAGGAAGGAACAGAACTTTGGTGTGACACAGGAATTTCTCACTGTGGATCTCAAACAGATTCTGCTACGGAGTACACATGTAGGATGAGCATTTCCTGTTTCTAAACAGCAGACTGAATTTATGGTAAAGCGTCAGTGATGAGATAAGTATGGATGGCTCCATCCACAACCCTTGGCTTCTTGTTGCTGACTGAACTTGTTCAATCAAAAGCATGCCTTGCACCCTCGTGCTGTAAAACCTGAGATATGAGAAGCAGTAGCTTAATCAGCCACAGGCAAACTTGCACTGCTACCTAGAGGAAAGGATTAATGTTCACAGTAAGGCAAATTTCTAAGTCTCCAAACTGTTTGGCAAGACCACTGAAAACATGAGTGCACTACGTCCTCCCCTTGCCGGGAATTACCAATTATTTTCAAATCCAGTTTGCAGAGAAGGCAGCGTAAGGGCAGTCTTTGGTTTGACAGAAAGGTGTTTTAGAGCAACTGCAGCTGGGACGGTTGGATAACTGCAACTGCCCACCAGGGAAATGTTCATTACAAGACATCAGTGGCCAGAAGTTTCCCTTAGTCACTTGAGTGACACCTCTTTGTTGTGATGGGGTAAATTCACCTGTACTTAACACATTTCTTGAGGAGGTGAAAACAGTAGCAAGCTGCCAGTTATTTCATGGGGTGGAAGAAGTCTCTACAGCTGTTTTTGCTTAGGGCAATGGATGGGTTTCGAATGGGAGGCCACACCTTAGAGCTCACTCCAGCAAAAGGGACTGTGGTGCTCAGACTGCTCCCTGGCCCAGCAGGTCCTGCTGGGCTGTGCCATGCCTGCTGTCCTTGGGATAGCACCAGACTTGGCTCTTGGGTGAGCACCACCTCAGCTCAGGTGTCCTGAATCAGTTCATACAAGAACTCGAGCAGCAGCAGAGGGAAGAAGGGTATGGGTGTGCCTTGGTGAGAGCAGAGAGACAGAACGGGCTCTCATAGCAATGTGAGCTGTCAGATCAGCCATTTCATCTGACTGCAATCTCCTTGTGGGTGGAATGTGACAAGCTCTTCTTCTGGCAGTTGAGTTTCAATAGCTGGCACTGCTGCCTCGTTGTGCCAGCACAACTATGTGTTATGACTACATGCAAAATGAATAAATTTATCAAGTCTGGTAGTCAGATGTATGGTGTAGCTGCACAGACTTGGAAAGAGCAGCAAAACTGAAACACAGGCACACATTCTGATTAGGAAATGCCCACTGCCTAAAAAAATGCTTGGTAAATTACTATGTTTTAGCCAACACTTTTCCCAAAACCATGCCCAAAGTGTACTTATAGCAAGCCCTTCTTGAAAGACTGGAATACTCTTGCCATGTATTTCCTAAGCTAGCAGCTGGATTTTTGGAATACTGAGGTTGGCAGCATCCAGAGTTGCTCACTTTTCTCTGCATCACTGTTGATGCTATTTCTAATTTCTTATTTAACATCTCACAAGCAAACTGAAGTTATGTGTGTTTAAAATAGAAGGGGGTAGGGGAAGTTATGGGTCTGTAGTCTGCCGCCACATCCAGGAACTCTGTGCTTCTAACAAACTTGCTGGTGAAAGCTGGTTTTGAGCCCCTTGCTTATTCTCTGCTGGAGTTTAGACCTTTTGACTTTCTTAAGGCAGATTCTGGATCATTTATGGCAATCACAGTTATAAATCATACTCTCACTAGGCACAATGCCAATCCAGGGTAAAGAGCTGTCGTATATTTTTGGTCCATGTTCTGTTCTGTGACCAGTCCCAGCTGAACACCATACCTGGAGATTGCAATTTACTTTCTCAGCATTTTCAGAAATGCTAAAGTCCACAGGAGTATCACAAGTCAATAACTCATCCCCAGAGACTGCAGCAGGTAAAAGGTAGCACCCAAAGTCCAGCTTGTCTCTATGTTGTTTACTTTCTTTGTCAACTATAAAGGAAGAAAAACAAGTTATTCCTGGCAGTTCTCTAGATTCCAAAGTTGCACAAATGATAGCAACTACGTGTTACAAATCTGGAAAGATTCAGTAGATAATTAGTCAGAAAAATGAACTAATGCTTGTTAATCAATAGTGAATTAACTGTTTTTTTCTCACCTTTAAGACTGTGTCGTCCCTAAATCCAAAACCTTCCTTTAATAAAGCAGTGATGTAAGTGAGATCCATGCAGAGGAAAGGACTGGCTGAGTTGTACCTCTCCATGTTATCACAGACTAGAGAAGGAAAAAAGAAAAAAAAAAGGATCTCGGGAAAATAAGAACTTGTATCCACATTGTACATTTGAACTGAACTCAAGCCAAAGGTTACTAAAACAAGCCACCCTCTTCTGTTAGTGGTTATGCATGACACATAGTACAGAGCTGTTCTACAATGTTGGAGAATAAACTATATAGTACAGTCCAGTTTCTCTTAACTCCATCAGAACTACATCTTTTATTGCAGCAGCAACATAATCCACACAGCTCTTCTGAAGAACCTCTGCTCAACTGATAGCTAGCAGGGTGTTATATTATTTTTTCAAGAACACAGCATCACTTGTTTTCATCATCTCTCCTCCACAGATGGATCCAGTAATTCATTCCACCTTCTAGGATGGCAGATTATTTTATTTTTTCCAACCACACTTGTCCAAGGAAATGGAAGAGGCTATTGCCCAACCAACCACTCCCTCGCTGCAGCTAAGTCAAGATTCCGTAGTCAGGGTGACAGTGACTGGGAAATGTATTTACACTAAGCATCATTTTCTAGACCTATTGTCACTGCCCTGTTCTACCAGCAGCAAGAGCAGAGTTCACTTCCTTCTAAGAAAAGATGAACAGCATCCTACTACTATTGAAATGAGATAGAGAAGAATTAGACCAGGATCACAGAATTGATCTCCTGATGGTCTAAAGCTAAGTAAGTGGTATGATAATGTTAGGTAAGATCTTAGCTACATCTTTGGAAATAAGCTCTCACTATCCAGGGAAAAAATAACAACCAACCCACACTCAAACTTTAGAGCCCAATCCCCCTATTCAAAATCATCCAAGTTTCCAGGGAGATTAAATTTAACTGAAAAATCACTAAAATTTAGGCCTTATTTTAGGAAAAAGGTCAGTCCTGAACTACATAATTAAGCATCTTCTGCTGAAAAATATGGTCTTCTCATTGTCTTGAGAATGATCACAGTACAGAGGTAACTTGCTTTTAGCCATCAGCAGCCAGGCAAGGTGGGAGCACTTTATCCACAGGAGGTACAAAACTAGAACAAGCATTCAGGAAAAAGACAGGGGGAGATAAAGGAATGTGGAAGAGGCTGTCAGACTTAAAAACTCTCTCCCTCTATTTTGTTAGAGATTATAGAGGATTTAAGGTGACAGACTTACAGAATTCAGTGCTCTCTTAAACTCAGAGTTGCAGTTTGACAGAAGCTCTTGATACAGCAAATTCACTTTCTTTTGTAGTGACTGTGAACTATCTCCTTCTCCTGAACAGAGCTGTAAAGCCACCAACCCCTCACTGCTCTATCAGTATTGTCTTCTGCATTAGTCTTTGACTAATAAAAGTAACGTGACAGGTGTAAGTGAAATAAAGGTTAAATAAATTTGCTTTTCTTCCAAGTCACATTATGTACTGCCTACACATTCATATTTTTGTTATTTCTTGTCCAAACCAGTTTCCCAGCTCATGACAATTACCTTCTTTGGCTTTTCTTTCAAAATCTCTTACTTTCAAAACACCTCCGCGTTCATAATCTGAAAAAGATGTGAGAAAACATCATCATAGGCCTGACAGCATTTGAATTCTTTATCCAAGTTGACCCTGGAGTGCAACTCGGGGATGCTGCACTAGGAGTGAGACCTGCTTGGAACAGAAGACAGAGCTGCAGGTGTAACTGGAGCCCTGAGCTCCTGTTCATGTACTGAACACCAAACGGCAGTGACAGATAAATGTCATTCCCTCAAGGCATTTTGTCTATCTCCTCTTTCTCAATAACATTGCTTTCCTCTGCTCCCTGTGGCTCCAGCCACCAGGGTTCCTCTGTCTACTTTCTGGATGACATGCTCACATGTAGCAGATTATCCCAAATTTACCAATTAGGTTGGTGTCAGCTGCTCGATCATAGTAATAGGAGAAAGCATAGAAGGAACTTCCACGAATCTCATCTGGTTGGTGAAGTTTGCCTTTGACAACCTTGAGTACTTCCAAGTAGCAAGGCTTAAATCCTGTTTCTCCTGTCAGGAAAAACGGACGGGGTGAGCCACAGAGCATATGCGAGAGATGGAAGAAATAGTGGCTGGATGAAACAGGATGAAAAATTAAAGAAGCAGAGATTAAAGCATCAGAACAAGAGCTTAGATATCCCTTCTGTAATCCAACATGACATCTACACACAGGCAAGGACTCTAAAAGCCCCTCATCAAGTAGAACTGGTTAGAGCAGATCACTGCTGTGTCTGAAAGAAGGGTCACACAAACTACTTCTATGTCAGGCAAAACTCCCATTGACACGTTCTGTGGTCAGCAGAATCTTCTACATTTGCTGCCACTTGCAAGATAAAACCTTGCTTTCTCTCCCCATCACATTGTAATTTTACCAACATACTCCACACACACCAAATCTTCAATTCAGCTCTCATGTTCCTCACTCTGTTCAAGTCTATGATGGCAGCAGACTCACCCTCTCTACGCAGCATTAGAGACTTATTATTATTCGAGACTTAAGAAACAGCTCCACAAGTGAGATTAACTGATAAGCCAAAGTGTTCGTACCCTAACACAAACAGAATTTTTGCACTTTGCTCAAAGCCTCAGAAAATCCTCTCTTATTTGCACAAATAATTCTAAACATTTCCTATAAAGGTATGATTTTTAATAAGACATCACAGTCAGAGGACAGGGGTACAGGTCAGCTACTCTTACAGCTTCAGATTTTAATCTGGATTTCTCAGAAGTCAACCTTTGCAACTGGACAGATATCCTTCATACCCCAATCATCATCAGTTAAGAAATACATGACAAGAAAAAACTCAGATTCTGGAGATAAGACTTATTGTAAAAGAAACAAGTCTCCTTAATTTACCTTCTTTGTTGCCACCATACTGATATTTCACTCCCCCGAAGTGCCACTCTGCCTCCAGCTGCTTAGGCAAACAAGAACTGCGGAACATTTGTCCATCCACAACTGGAAAGAAAGCAGAGAGGAGAGTCAGAAAGCACAGAATTTAACATAGCTATAAATCAATATGCAGAACCAGAAAAGGCTGAAAGATCTTCATTAAAGTCTTTAAGTGAAAGTACAAAAATCTGAATTGATGGATGGGGCATTAACTGATTACAAATTAAGGACCAGTCTCAAGTCTGGAAAAGTTGTGTCCATTTTGTCCTGCAAACAGCAGAGCAGCCAGGCTTGTCATTTCTTAATGAGATAAACGGTACAAGGGTATCTGGATAGTGGCTATTCACCACAAAAGACAAGAAATGAGAGGTGACAAACACACAGATGCACAAACTCTAATGACAGCAGATAACCAAGACAAACAAAGCAACTGAGCAATGAAGATAAAACCTCCTAAGACAGAGATCAATGGCCACTACAGGATCCACTGAATGTACCTTTGAGGGGTTCAACCAGAAATACTGTAACCAATAAGAAGAAAACATGAGTATTGCTGCACACACAGGTCTGACAGAAAAAGCAAACTTCTAACAGTATGCTTGAGGCAGACTCTGAAACAGCAAAATTTGCCATGGGATGCTTAGGAAAAGGCTCAAAGGCTGGGAAAAGGGGGAATTAAGGGATCAGGGATGTGCAAGTATGGCAAACCAGAGGAGACTGTAAAAGAAGACAGTCACAAGTAAGCAGGCAGCTGGTCCATGTGCTTTTCTGTCTGAGCCTTGTGACCAATCACTGCAGTCTGTCCTATCTTCTTCTTAATCCCTAACCTACTCCAACTATTTTTGAGTACATTCCAGTAATTATCACAAGCCCATCTAGCTGTCAAGTAAGAATCCAGAAGGTGGAAAGACCCCTGGTCCTGGCCAGAGACTAGACAAAAGGCCCAAACTCTGGGTGAGAGACTGGAAAGACTCAGGAATGTGAGTGTGCACTCAGGTTACTGAGTGAGAGCACGTGATGTGCTCGTGGGCTTCCATCCAGACTAGGCAGTGCACACAACAGGTCTGGGCAACACCACAGGCCAGAGGGGCCTACAAAGGGGGTTTGGCCTGAGCAGCAACCCTAAGGAAAAGGATTTGTTCATGCTGCTTATGTGTCTGTGGATGCTTGTAAAGCTGTGTTTGTGGCTGGCCATGGTGTTTGTATGCTCCCACATGTGCATTTTGGAATTTGCACTTGAATGTCACTGCTGGCTGATCTCAAAAATAGGGAAAAGCAGCTGTCTCACAAGACAACCCCTTAACAAGTAGTAGCTGTTTTCACACAAATATATACCATCAGCAACATAGAAAAGCACAAGATACAGAAGTGAGGACACACAGAAAATGGGCTGCAGACACAAGGCTAAGTCTAAGCATCTCTTCATAAATCTTAAACGTTTTAGTATATTAACATACCTTCCATGTTCAAAGCTCCAAGCGTTGCCAGTCTTGCAGCTTTTAGCCCAAACCCCAAATAGCTGTCAACAACAAAAGACAGATGTTATAGTCTTGATTCCTGCACATCTGTTATGCTTTACCCATAGTCCTCTTCCTAAGTCCTGGAACACCCAAACCGAATTTCCTTCCTCTGATTCCCACAAGGCTCCCTCTCTAAAATAGAGCTCCCTTTGCCAGAACAATCCTGAGGGCCAAAGAGTGACACAAACCCAAGAAATACAAAGAGTTGTAAAATGGGTGAATATAAAACTGCAGGAAATGGTTACAGCTGATGTGTCATTTATACAAGATGATCATGAAAAGCAAAAAAGCACCACCTTAAAATGAGGGAGGAAGAAGGGTATGTGCCGAGTGTATGGGGAATGGGGCAGCCACTCTTATATAGCACACACAAAACTATGTGCTCTTAGGGCAGAGTGCAGAACCTCCCACAAAACAGGAACTGTGGCTTTGTGTGAAATTCACCTGTTTCGACTCCACAGGTAGCTGCTACATTCATTATAAGCTAGAATATGAACAGTGCTTATGAGAATGTCATCACACATTGCAGAAACAAAGCTAGATAAAAATCTTGTTGACCCTTTCATTTCCATCTCTGTGTTTGTCCACTTACCACTTTTGTCACGTCATTTTAAACGTTTCCAGAATATTCAGAGTTAAACTAACCTCCAGCTCTCTCTCAATTTTTAGGAGATGATTTTTCAGTCCCAATTATTTTAGGTGCTCTAATGGACTGTATCAATGACTACAGCAATCAGTTACATCAGCAAATGTAAGGAGTAGGAGAGGATGACTATTAGACCAGCTCTGGTGTCAAGTAAGCAGATTCTGTAATGGCTGAGATGGTAATGTTCATTCCACTAAGTTTCAGGCAAGTCCTCTTCCCAAATCTCTGATTGTTTTTAGTTCTGACAACTGGCACAATATCTACCTTTCTGCTCGTTTCAGGATACTTGGCTTGAATCAAGTAGTAAGAATTCTTTTCCTTAAACATGGGTTCACAGAGCTGTCTCTTCATTTGACAGACTGCCTAATATTCCCTTGCAATGACATTAACCATGATCCTGGAGTGTTTCCAGCCAGCTAATGTCATGTTCCACTTCTACTGTTCCATGCAGATAAGTAGTAAAAAAGTCATGGTCTCTGCTGCTGGTACCAGGATGATGTGGCTGTTAGCTCAGGGACTGATTTCCCCAGTGGAAATAGCAGTCTTTTGCTCCTCACCTGTGGGTATAGAGCTTGTACGTGCTATTAAACATTTCAAATGAGGTAAGAAAATCCTCAGGGGTTTCCTTCAGAGTTTCCTAGAAGTTAAATAAAAGAAAAAATGTTTTAGTTTATATTATGCAATGAAGAATAACCAACTTTAATGTAATATCACAAGATACACTCATACAGTTTCCTGCACACTCATCTGATCTGCTTTGAAAACAAAGTACAGCTTTCCAATGCTGCCACTGCTGTAATACCTGCACTGATTTAATTTATACGCATCTTTGTGCTACTTCAATGTATAACAGGGAAGCACAACAGATCAGGATGAAAACACTTTCAGGTAACCTGAATTTTTCTAGAGTACTTACATATTACTTTCTGCATGTAGAGTCCCCATCTCCATTACCAGAAATCAGCTGCACTACAAGTGCTATGAACTTTTTCAAGTCACACTAGGCACCTAAACTGAGGTACTCAGAAGAATTAAAAATACAAGGTATAGGCCCCATTTTCACCACGTCAAATGTCCAGCTGGTAATTAAGGAAACACTGACCACTCACTCCCAGTCTTAGGGCTGCTTCACCTAAATTAGCCTCTTGTCTCACCACCTCCAGTTTTTCCTCTGTGTCTTCTCTCTGTGCACACCTCCATCCCACTGGTACCCTGCCCTAGCTTCCTGACAGTCTAACTCACACTCTTGCAGGGCTGAACTGCTTTAGCAATCATTTACTGTTTCTTTGTGTCCACTCCCCGAGCTCTCAGGCTCAGTTTCTGTCTCTCCTCTCCTCATGGCCTCATTCTCCCAGCCCTTCTTGGCTCTGTGCACTTTAATTCACTTTATCATTCACTGTTATCCTGGGCCAAGCAGCAGACTCTCCAAGAGAACTGAGGCTGCACAGTCCTGCAGTTACCATGCAAGTAAGGAGATCCACATCTGGGTTATTTTTTCCAGAGTCCTAGACAGAAGCCTGCTCAAAGCTGAAAGGAATTTCACGGTATTCAGCTTGAGCCTCTCCTGAGCAAATACAAATCAAAATTTGTTTTGGGTCTCAAGTTGACTATCTCTGAAATGGCAGTCACATCCTTGACCTCATACACACAGACTGCCATATTTTGAGTTCTGTTTCTAAACCTTACATCACAAAAACTATTTAAAGGAGAGATCCTAAAAAAAAAAATTAGTTTGGAGAAAAAAATTGTCTTTTCTCATGCCCTACTTTCACAAAAATGAGACAGACACCAGAGAGACGATTTCATAATTACTATGATTGGTTTTCAGTTGCTTTTAGCTTTGGCAATAATGCCATGAAATTAAAATCAACTCCATGCAGTTATCATTATATGTTCTCTACTTGCTTGTAATTAATATTTAATTAACAAATCTTTTACTATTACAGTATTTTGTTCAAAACTAATATAAGAGCAGGCATGTGACTGGCTTGGATTGCAGGAAGGAAAAATCTCCACTGCAAATCAAAGGGATGTAGCCTTGCTAATTCTGTCAGATGGGAACAACTCCCAAAAACATACTGATCTTATTTATTTGAACTTGACAACACAGGTGAGAAGCAGACATAGTGTACAGCATGAACCTTGACTCCACACTGTCCTACAAATTCACACCATTAGTCCTGTTCTGCAGCAAACACTCCAGGACTTTTCCTGCAAGGCTGGAAGGAGACATTTGAATCCTGAGCTGCAGTTCAGCTTATTTCACAGTTCTATTTATTCTCCAAAACACTGACATGCAACACCCTTTCCTGTTGGTCCACTGCCCACTTTAGCAGGTGTTATCAACACAAAACAGAGGACAAGCCCACAGTATACTTGAGGCTTTGCTGAACAGGATAAGGTTGCATGTCATGTTTCATCATAACACACAACTGCAGAATTAAAATATCCTGATGTGAAAGCCATGTGTTTTGTGGTCACCAAACATCTCTTGAGAATCTCAAGTTCTATTAAACAAACAAAAAAAAAGTTAAAGAAATGACTCCTTCAGAAAGAGTGACATAAACACATCAAATGTAATTTTCTCATGCAAACTGCAGACTTGGGTCCCAGTTCAAACTGTTTCTAAACAGCTATAGAGCTACTAAGAGATCCAGCAGAGGTGTCTGAGGCACAGAGAGCAGAATGCTCAAAGGAATGAGAAGAAATTGATAAGAAAACAGAGAACTGACTCTGCTTCTATTAAAGAAATTTACCCTATACAACACTCCTGCCCTCCAAAACTTAGTCAAGATCTGTTATCAGACTGGAATGGAAAAAAAAATAGACCAGTCCCTACATTTCTTCTAACATTCAAGAATACTACCTAGAAATGTTCTACCTTTGTTGAATACACAGCAAGATCAACATTAATGAGGCTTTCCCAGCATGAGTCTAGAAAACAAAAGCTGTTTCTTTTTTGTTTTATTCATTTGCTTTCTTTTTATTTCCTCATCATTCAGGCTCCTTTGTTTGCAAGTGCTGATCAGCCAGCTGCTGATCTCAAAGGGAACAGAAATACAGATGTTCTGTAAACCATGGATGTTCTGCTTGTGCCACTGCTGACAAAGTGTAGCTGCGAGTGCAGCAGGGCTCAGGTCTCTGCACCAGCCTTGCAGTCCCAACCCATGCACTTTCAACCACTCCTCACCTCAAACCGTGGCAGGAATGTGATTTGGGTTGAGGCTCCTCCCAAGTCCAGAATCCCAACAGTTTGCTGGTTCTGGCCAGACAGCTGCCCTGCAAACAACACCGTGCTCAGAACAGCCCCAAGTGCACAAATGCTGAAATGCAGACACTGTGTGGATGCTCGGCAGCCACCAGGTGATCACAGTATCACAGCAATACAAGGAAGGCTGAGCTGCCCTTCAAAGAAAAAACCTCAGAGAGAACAGGCAGGCAAACAGAAGGTATTATGGAATGGTTCACAGACTTTCTTCCTTGATTCCAATCTCTCCTCCAAATAGACAACAGCAGATAAATCTCCAGGTATCAAGCAAAAGCTGAAAGTAAGAGACAAAGTATCTCCTGCAGAAGACTGTCAGGGAGAGCACACAAATTTTGTAACCACCATAGAGCTGGGCAAAAGCAGTAGGAGAAGGAAGGGCAGTAAGAGCCAAACCAGCTATTATAATTTCTCTTCGCCCAGAGCAGTTTTTTGCTTGCTCATCTATCTACTAGAGTACTGATTTTCTTTTCACTGGATTGCACTCCCAGAAGCTCTTAGAGCCAGTAGTGCTGAGGCATGAACCATGCTCTGCAACACCTCTGCAGCTGCACAGCTCACAGAGGGGTGAAGAACACTGCAAGGCCTTGTTTCCCACACACTAGCAGTACCACTCCCCAGGCACGTCAGGGAAACCAGCCTGCCAGTGCCTCCAAGATCTCAGTACATTCTGGCACCTTCAGGGTTAAGATCCTCCTGACTACAGACTCTGGAACACAGTCTGCCCAAGGCAATCCACTGCTTTAGCACTGGTGAGAGAGCGAGGAGGGAAATCATGGCCAAGGCAGAGGAACTTAGGGTGCTCACCTCCACTGAAGTTACTCAAGTTCAAGTTTAGAGTAGTTATACAGAATTAATTACCTGTCAAAAAGTTGACAGTGATCCAAGCTAAAATTCCTGCAATGAGTGAAAAAAGAAAAAAAAAACCAGTCACCATTAAATACTCCCACAATCTCCTGCCCACTGTTACCAGCCCTCCACAGGTTATTTATTTACCTGGAGGTCATTACTAGATTACCCAACCACCCCAGACTTCAGAGATTAATTCAAACTCATAATTAAATTATATGATGCATTATTGATTCATACAAGTCTAATGAGCTGAAATAGGTAGGACTTTGTAATATCCATGCAACTGCACCGTACATAAATCATATCTATTATCCAAACAACATACAAAGAAGTAATGAGCTGACACAATGCACAAGTTTCCTTGGGCCTGTTTTTGCAATCCAGCATTTCAATTCCTAATCTGAAAACTGCATTCACACCACTCTGTTTTAATCTTAAGGTTTCTATAATTACACTACAGACAGAGCAGCAACCAGTAAAACACAAACAGCTTGACTCCAGTGGCTTGCTTGACACTTACATGATTCTCACCCAAACATGTGACAGTAGAAGAGGTAGGGATTTTAAATAAACTTGGCAGGCTACCCTGTGCTCTCTTATGCCTCATTGGTCCTGCCCCCTGTCAATACAACAGTTCTCCCTACCGTACAATTCACCCATTAATCCATAGTGACAAACTATGTACTTATCAAATACTTGAAGACTTTATGATACTTCTCCTTTTCTCAGTCAATGTGGACAGATTTTGTTCTTTAATCTTCCTCCATTTATTAGCTGTTTAGGCACTGTGATAATTCTTGCTTTCCTTCTACACCTTCCAAAGTGGCAATTTATCTGCCATAAGGAAGAGTTCTGAACTGGATGTAACATGACAGGATGGCTCTTTTCATCAGGCGTCCATACAGATGATTATTACTTGCCCATACTACCTTGGAAAATGCCTGGATATGTAGCCAGAATGTTAGTGCTTTTTCTGCACTGCAAAATCATTGCTCACTCCAAACCTACAACACATTTCACCTTTTCTTGTATTTTACTGTACTTGCTTGCTACTTTACTAGCAGTATCTTTCCCAACAGAATATTTTATAACTTACTATTTTATTATTTAGTTATCTATTTTTAATATGTGTCAATTATCCTTCATTCTTCTCTAATATTCACAATCCAATTTTAGATTGAAAATTGATGGGCTGATCATAATAGGTTATTTTTAATGCTAATATTGCAGAATTTACAAGGTACTTTCCATAAGCTTCCCAGCTTGCTATATATTGTCATGTAGCCTTTCAGAGGTGGACACCACCTCTTTTGCACCAGTTCCCAGGAGCAGGCTTCAGCTTGCATCAGGCAATATGTATTGCTGAGACAGAGTTTTGTTCTGAAACTTGTGAAATCTCTTTGTGTATCTGCATTTGTAGTACAACAGGTGACCAAGTAATGAACAGCATCTCAAAAAGGCAGGATTGCATTGTTTCAAACAGGACCAGAAACCTTTTATTTTTTTTTCTGCTTAGTTTAGGGACCATTTCTCTTTCCCTCATATCTCTTTGCTTTTCCTTTTTACCCCTCCTATAACACACCTTCATGAGATCCATCCATGATGCCAACACTGTCCTCTGGAACAAGGAATGGTGACTCCTCAAAGACTTCTTTCACCTGAGGAAAGAAATAGTGATTAGATTTCTTGGTCTTCAGAGTCTTGTTCTGCTCTGAGGGTGACAAAGTTTTGTTTTACACAGCAGTATAAACTAAGACAAGTGTGTGGAGTGGGGGCTAGGAAAGAAAGAAGTATTGTAGGTCTCTCTCCATGCCTTCCACCACAGCAAGACACAGGACTTCAGGACCAGACAAGATACTCTGTGAGTTTCACCTATTGTGGGATTACAGTCTCTTTCAGAGATCAAATTCTCTTATGCTAAAGAGAATAGAGAACTGAATGAAAAAAAAAAAAAAAAGATGAAACAGGGAGAACAATAACAGTGCATCCAAAACAACTTATACCACCTCTGAAAGCAGAGCCTGAGCTTTCTCCTCCGACAGCAAGCGAAGTCCAGCTGTGGCTTTTAACACTACTGGGGTCTTTTTCCAGAGATGAGGTGGCACAGCATCTACAGCCATGTCCAGCAATGTTTTGACAGTTTCAGCACCCTAAAAGGAAAAATATGTTTTTTATATGGTTTCCTCCTACAGGCCATCAGATAATAGACCTCTCCAGTTTCCCCTCAAAACTTGTGAGAACAGTATTCACTAGCAGAAGATATCCACACCCAAAATAAGTATAAAAACCATGCGAGACATCTCATTAAAACTTTAAACAGAATGTCAGCATTGGAAGGAAAGGTGTACTCACAAATACATTTTAGGGAAGATAAATATCATTGTTTGTGGAAGGTATTTTTTTTAAGGATGGAGGGAGGTGAGGGAACAGATTACCTGACAAACCTGAACATCTTGCAGTATGATGAAACTAAATGGTACAATTACTGAGGCTACCAAAGCAAGGGGAAATAGCTGCCCATTTCACTAAATGCAACATAAGAATTCCAAGTGTGTCCATAGCAAATACTGTAATTAAAATGCCAGCTGTGCAATGGTTACCACACAAGGTACAGACATCACTGCTGGCTCTCAATTATTTCCACAGCTCTAACAATCACAGTTTTGCATTAGCAATAAACATTCTCCTGTGAAATGCCTAGAAATTTCTTTTGGACTGAGTTCTCCTCTCCTACCCAACAAACAAGTTTTACTGGAATAATAGGTGATCTTATAAACATTTTTAAAAAATCCCAAATCCACTTACTCTTCCATAAAGTGTCACACTCAAATTCCTGTATAGGAATTTGAATCCAAACTGAGCAAAGCATAGAATCCAGCTGAGCAAAATGAGAAACCTGAAATCTCCATAATGCTAGCCCCCAACTTCAAGGCTGCTAAAGCACACAAAAGAGTGGATCTAATCTGTCATTTCTCTGTCACCTCCTTTAGGTTGTGAAAGAGCCTCCTGTCAGCACAGGGGGTCTGGAAAATGGCAGCTTACTTCAGAACTGAGAAAATTATTTGTAAATGAGACAGAGTATGCATTTACTCATATTTGGAGTAGCTGCAGAGGAAATAAACCCTGAATATGGATGCTGCTGGAGACAAAAATCACTTTGCCTTTGAAATTCTCAAAGGTATACAGTCTAGTTATATAAACATTTAAGCAATTAATTAATCCACTGTTCCACTGATGAAATATGTAAAACACCAACTCCTATTTCACTGTGTGAACTTAACTTGCAAAAGTAGAGGAACAGGTTTAGAGACAGCAGCAGAACTTTCACATTTCTTCTTGACTTTTTGCAATTGCAATCAGTAATACTTGAACTTGGTAGAATCTAATGATATAACAGAAGCATGACCAGCTCCCAGGGAATGAAGGCCAGTCCTACCTTTTCAGGTTGATCAGCATATGCAGACAGACCTGGCTTCACAGACTCAAAGATTTCCCCTTCCACCTCTGGAAGGTTTTCTGCACAAACAAAACATTACATGATACAGTCAACAACTCAGATCTTATTCTTTAATTTCCAAAAGGCTGCCCTCAACTCCTGTGAAGTGACTATCCTTGATTATTCTCCTTGCAAACAAGATTATTCCCTTCCTGAAACAAGCCTTGTTCCTTCACTTAATTTAAATTTAAATGAAACTTAGCAGTAAATTTAGCAGAAACTTGCCCTTGTACCCTCCAAGTTCACAAACAATTTATTAATAACATGTTATAATTAAAAGTATGTTCATTTAGCATTTGTGAACTACAGTAAGTTACAACAATGCAGCATAACTGTCACCTATTCTTAATAAAATTTCTTTCCCTTTCTGTTCTTAAGCTAACTGTGAAATACTAGTGCATATTAAGACACATATCATCAATTCCCAATTATCCTTAGGTGATTCACCCAACTCAGATAGAACAGAGCAGACTGTGCTCAAGTACTTGGCTGAGAAGCCAAACAAGTTTGACCAGTGCTCCCAGAGCAGTTTGGGTGTAAAAGCTATCCCTGAGTATTCCACATTGCAAGCCAGGCTGAGTCCAACAGAACTGGACCTTGTACAGTCCTTCCAAACCACAGATGAAGTCATGCAAAGACACATAAGGACTATGTCCCAGTAACCAGCCCTCAACCTTTGCAAACCTGCTGGCTCACTGTACCCAAGAAAATTCATCCTCCTGAATCCTGCCACATGTGCAGCCAAAATTGGGCACCTCTGCACCATGTGAGCACCAGACACACTGGAGTGTGGTGCATCTCAGCACACTTCTCCTGGAAATGGCTCAGACCTTCAGTACTTAATAATTCTCTAATTTACTGATTTTAATTTGCTATAAAATGTTACATAAACATATGCAGAATTCAAGTATCTCTTGATAAAATTTAAGGTAACATGCAACTTGACAAAACCAGCATAAGTATCTTTTCATCTCAATGAGATATTCCTTCTAAGCAGCTGCATAGATGAAAATGTTTGAAAATTTAGAATTCTCCAGTATACCCAGAATGGTATATCTGAGACTCAAAAGACCTACAAAAATGGTATTTACACAGCAAAACACCACGATAAAGGGACAACAAACACCTGCAGGAGGACCATTTGAAGGACAAACTGTAGATATCTTAAGCTGCTTCCAAATGCTTAGCTGGCAAAAAACAAAACTGTTTTGAGAAGTTGGAATCTAAGTCAACATACATGGGGGTCTTACCTGGGCTCTTCTGCACAAAGGTGTAAATATGAATACGGGTTCCAGTGCTTCCTGCGTCAAACATGATGCCATAAAAAGTGTTTGCTTTGGCATTTATAGGGCACACATTAGGTGGAAAGAAATCCTGAAACCACATTTCCCTGTTTGAGTGTGAAAGAACAAAGGGCAAAGAGGAAAACGCCAATGCTATAAGGATGGGAAGTCTGGAAGATGCCATCTTGCCAGGACCCCTTGAGACTGTCAAGCACGTATCAGCAATCACAGGGCTGCAGAAGGTCCTGAAGAGTTAAAAAAAAAAAAAAAAAGGAATGGAAATTACCAAGAGCTTGCTCTTTTGAAAAGACAATAAATAAATCATCATTCTGTGCACAAGCATTCTCCCTTTAGGTGCTTTTCAATACCTCATCCAAAAAGAGCTGTTTTATTGCACTTAGTGCTACAATTACATCTAACTAATTTGTTCTTCCATAGTAAAGGCTTCTCCCTTTCTCAAACACAGAAGAGATGGAGTAGTTTGCTTTCCAGTATTTCTAGTTTTGACTTTTAGACAATTTCCTTCTATTATTTCTCTTGAGATTTTCAACATTCAGAGTCTCCAGTACCTCCTCCCAAAAGCCCACATATTATCTGAAAAGCAGCATTGCCAGAGGGGAACTCTGGGCAGAACCACTAACATCTCACACTTGAGATGCTGTGGCAGAACACAAGTGTTATTCAGAGTCACAAACAAAGAGAATTTCATCTCAGGCTAAGAACAGCTGCTGGGAGAAATTAGCACACAGAGAGAATGAAGGCATATCCTTCCAGCAGCATCCTCATCTCCGAGAAAAGCCTGAGCTGCACCAGAGGGGCTGACCTGAAGTGCACCTGAGCTCCACCTCTCTGTATTTTTTCATGTTTTTATTTTCTGTTTTTTTTGGTTTGTTTTTTTATTTTTAGAATTACAAACAACAACAAAAAATCACAGCAAAACCCACACACTCTCACAAATCTAAAGCAGTTGCCCCAAACACTCAGGTTCCTTAGAGCTTCTATCAACAGTGTCCCAAAGCTGTGTTACACAGTATTGAATATCAAGATACATGCAAAGGGATAGGTGTTAAGGGACGATGTAGCTGTATTTTTCCTAATATATGCTAATAAAAGGCATGGGCACAGAAATCATGGGGTGCCCAGGTAAAAAGAAGGACAATACCTAGGCATCTTTAAGAGCAGAAAAGAGCATGTGGCCAGATGTCCCACCATATGCAGCATTGCCTGCACCAACCTACACGCAGAGCACTCTGCACACAGAAGGTGCAAACAGCTCCTTATCACTTTCCAGACACTTGGTAACACATGCATCCACCCACAGCACTGCAGATTCCACTTTATATGGCTGCTCATCAGCTGTGCCCAAGACCCCTGCCCACTGCTTGCTCTTACATTTGACTGTCTTTTAGCAATACTTTATATGGCTGCTCATCAGCTGTGACCCCTGCCCACTGCTTGCTCTTACATTTGACTGTCTTTTAGCAATCTGCTCAGCCCCACCATGTTCATTCTCTCAAAATCTTTACTTGCTGTCTCTATCCTACATGTATTCATTCCTAAACATTCTCCTTTCCTTTCTATGTGAGTTTGCTATAGCCTCTATCTCCTCACACCTTTCACCCACACCCAAAAAGCTCACATATACTCCACTACCTTTTATCCCAGATTCAGCCCTTGTAATACTTTTATTATTTCCATTCTTCACCTTTGTCCCCACTTACAGCAAAGGGAGATGAACTTTTACCCATTCCCAGCAAAAACCATCACATTCCTCAAGCATCTAAGTCACTCCAGAGCCACACAGAGTGCAGACCCACTGCAGATGGGTAACCTCACCTGTCTGCTGTGACCTTTATTTTTATCCTCCCACTTCAAACAAATGCAGAAATGTGGGCAGAGACTCCTGATCCTCTCTGCCTTAGAAGCACACTCTGCAAAGAGCTGACCACAATTCCACGAGCAGACAACAGCCCTGGCTAGTGTCTGTGACAGATCAACTCCAGCTGCAGTAATTTCTACAGTATACACATTTAATGTGGAAAGGAGTAAATGGGTAGTTCTGTAAGGAAATGCTCTCCTGGAGGCTTGATGAGAAGTGCCAAGCAGTCTGGCAGTTTTGTAGCTATGGATTGGTACTAAGATGCAGCTGGCATCACCCAGGTTTGCTTCATCACAGCAAGAAGGGCCACTGAAAATCCAAGCGGCTGCGCTGTGTTAACAGAACATAAGGTGCCTTAGTGAGAGCCAACTTCCAGCAGGTCCAAAGAGGTGTTCTTATTCTCACACAACGTCAGGATTTTGTTTAATGAACTATCACAAATACACCCCAAGCACCTGTCTTAAGAACAAACTCCAGAGTCCTATTACAAACAGCACATGTGACAGTTATGTAAGCCTCAGAATCTCTGATGATCCGAAAATATCTGAGCAACTGCCATCATTAACTCACGCTTTCCTTACCAGACCTACGAGAACCTTAGTCTCACATAAAATTCCCTCACAAAGCTTCTCTTCTCTGTCCCTTCTCAGATATTCACCACTTTCTGTTTTCTACATTTCCCCTGACTTTTTTTCTTTCTCCTTTTATACTTCTAAGGACAAATAAAACCCCAACAAAACAACAAACTCACAACCAATCACCATGGATTTAATTTTTCTTCTCCCTCATTAAGAATGAAAAATGTACACTGAGCCCCTTTGGGATTTTATTTTTCTTCTCCCTCATTAAGAATGAAAAATGTACACTGAGCCCCTTCAATGACTGGTGAAGTCCATTTAATCAAGCACACTAGCAAATCAATGTCCACAAGAAGAATGACAACAGAGGAGAGTAAGAAATCAGAGACAAGAGAAATCAGCAGAGCATAACAGAAATGGAAAAAGAATTTGGAAAGACAATCAAAAGTACAGAAGAAAAAAATCAGGGTAGAAATAGACAAGACATAAGTTACTGAGAAGGAAAAATATTTTCAAAACAGTTCCTCTCAAACAACTTTAAAGTCCTAGCTGGTATCAGAACTCAACAGGGTGGAGAAAATGAACAATAAACAGAGAGGAGAAAAGAGGGTAACTGTTATGTGAGCACAAGCTTACTAAAGCAATCAAGCAGTTCAGCAAGGTAAAGCCTGCAGCTCCCCATCAACAGGCTCAGTTACTGTCCTTCCAAAGGAGCAGTAATAACCAGCACTGCCCACAGAGACGTTAGCACACACCTGAAGCAGGATGGAAGCAACAGCTACTCCACTCCCAGGGAAAACCTCCCTCAGAGCACCATGGAAGAGACACTGGCCTGCCCTTCTTCACCTTCGCTGCCAGCTAACAGCAGTGGACTGTGTATCACGCAAATTATAAGGTCACGAAGGCACATCAAATACCAATCGAGTTGTTTTATTCAAATTTGAGTTTATCATTACTCAATACAAGCAGTGAAACATGCTTATATAACTACACAGGATGAACTTCAAGAAGTTGAAAGTTAACATGAGATCAAGTTAGTAAAACATTTACACAAACACTGCAGTTGACCTCAACATCCCTGAGGCCTGAGCCAGCAGAGCAGCACAGAACACTCATTTCCCAACGCACAGAAACACGTGTAAATGTCATCTGTACACAGCAGCTTTTAGGTACTAAATGAAAAACTGAAGTTCATCCAACAAAAAAAAATTTGAAAAAATATGCAAACTGTATGATCCAGAAATACTGGGATGCTGCACAGAGACTTCCAAGACTGAAAGCATGAATAAGAAGAAGGAAAAAAAACCAAAAAAAACCAACAAACCACAACCAAAGTCTCCTTAAACAGCAAAATTAAAACCTCTACCACAATAACTAACCTTAAGACAGCAAAACACAACCTTACTTAAAGCTCACCATACACAGAAACACTAGTAATTTTCAAGACAAGAAGTATTCAGTACTTGACTATTTCTGACAAAATAGCACACCACACACAAACCACACAACAGAAGCATCTCCCTGTAAAAACCAATGTGATCTGAGGGGAGGGAGAAGCAGTGTACCAGAGACACACAAGAATTTCACTTCTGTTTCCTAACATAATACTGGGAAACATTTGGAGGCACACCAAAAAAAAAAAAAAAATTATAAATATTAATTTTATAAATACAGGCAAATATTTTACAAAAATAACTATTTCAGGAAACAAATAAAATTACATAATTCAATTAATATTCTTCCATGCTGAAGCACACCAGAAATCATTTAGAATGGAAACTCTTCTGTGCTAAAACAGTAACAAAATCTATTTTCCAGATGAGCAGCTCTTATGGTCACAAAATCTATTTCCCAGATGACAGCTTTAACACTTAACACTCACGACTAAATATATACTTTTTAAACTTTTTTTTCCCAGAAAAAAGTTATTACATTTTTTTCTGGAGTTACTTTTATCTCTTGAAAAAAAATAGCTTTCTTGGATTGTTTTGACAAAACTTAAGCTTTTTGAAAGCACACTGTGTAGAAGACACAATAGAAGGAATAACTAAATCCAAAGGCAGAATTTCCCAATATTTCCATAAAAATAATGGCACATACGCATTTTCGGTAAAATTCTGGCTCTAGAGCTTTAAACTCCAGGGGGAAAAAGTAGAACCAACTCACAAACATGCGTTATCAGAAGTTTTAATCTTTCCCTCCCCGCCCTGAGGCTCCAAATACACATTATTTATTTATTCACATTTCCGGCCAAGTGGGTTTCCCATTTTCCTCTCTAATTAGCCCAAGGCAGCTTTTCCAGGGAGCCGCTACCCCGCGGTGCGGGCACCACAGCCGCGGGCCGCTAGCGGCACCTTTTCCTGGCACAGCTGCTGTTCCTGGAAAACACAGCTCGGCTGCCGCCGGCCCCGGGCGCGGCGGGCTCGGGAGCGCTCCGGCGCCGGCTCCCGCAGCCGCTCCCGGGAGCGCCCCGGGGCCCGCTCCACCCGCCGCGCCGGGGCTCCGGCTCCGTCCGAGCCGCGCGTCCCGGCTCCCTTCCCCGCGGCTGCCACCTGGCGCTGGGCACGCCCGACAGCCTTCCCTACCTTCCTGCCCGACCTTCCTGCCCTGTCCCCTGGGAAGAGCCTCGGCGGTGCTCCCGTGCCCCGCCGGCGGCGGGCAGCGCGGCCCGGCACTCCGCAGCGCTTCCCGGGGCCGGCGGCGCTCGGCAGGAACGCCCGGCCCTCCCCGCCGGCCGGCCGGCGCTATCTCTCGGCCGGGACGGGGCGTCCTCCCGCCCGCCCCTGGGGATAACGGGGACGCCGGCGCAGCTTTCGCGTCTCCCGCCGCCTGCCCGGCCTCGCACGCAGCGGAGCGCCCTCCCGGGGCGCCGGGACCGAGCACGGCTCGGGGGGGTTCCCCCAGCCCGGCAACGGCGGGCCGGCAGCGGCCCCGCGCGCGCTCCCGATGCCGGACGAGCCCCGCAGAGCCCCGCGGCCCGGCCCCCCGGCCCGCTCCATGGCCGAGGAGAGGCTGAAGCGCTCGTTCCGCTGGGAAAGAGAGCCGGGAGCGAATGTGCTGGGTTCGGCTCCTCCTCGGAGGCTTCAGAGCAAACGGAGCCGAGCTCTGCTCAGAACACAATGGAAAAGAGGCCCTGTGCTGTAGCGCCCGGTTGCTCTGTCACTTTAGATTCTTTCACTTTACCCCTATTCCGCCTTTTCTAAATCCCAGTGCCGAGCAAAGCCCTTTTACAGATAGAAAAAGAAACTGAAAATGGAAACGAAAAGTCAATTATTTTGCCATCCTATTTATTGAATGAGAAGGTACAAAGGTCTGACCCCCAGACATTGGTGAGGTCACTTGGTAGGAAACTATTTTCTTCCTCGTGTGCCAGAGCTTGCTTTCAGCCCATCTAGTATAAAATATCTTACTTGGACCTTTCTCCAGATGGCCAGTTTTGTTTCTGTATCTGTAATTTTTTTCTCCTTTTCTAAACTTCCTGGGCACTGCACCACCGTCTGTAGCACAGACCACACAGCTGCAGTATAAAGTGGAAACACTGGAAATGGCCCTACAGCACATGACCAGAAAATCTGTGAGACAGACTGAGAAAACTCAGCACCAGCCAAGTATGGTGGGGATCAATAAACTGCAGCAACTACTAAAAAAGAAGGCTTGAGAGATGCACTGAGTGAAGAGCATAGCCCAGAATATCTTAAATGAAGGGACTGAGGTGTAAAGACTCTATATAGATGCTCTGTGATGGGAATCAGGAGATCATGTCCAGTAGAAAGCATTAAAAGGAAAAGGCCAAAACTGCCTATGACAAAACAAAACAAAAATACAGAGGCATGTGCAGCCAAGTAGCAATTTCCTCAAATCAAAACATTAAAAGCAACAGAAATTGCAAAATAATGTGCACAGAGACCTAGAGGAAGCACATAAATACTGCTGGTGTGGAAATGTTGAAAACTAGTGTCCATCTTCCTAGATAGACACCTAAAAAATCCTTTGCATGATAATATTTTTTGGATTTGGAATGCTTATGGAGACTTCTGTAGTGAAAATAACTGTATGAGTTGCGTATTCTATAAATTAGCAATGACTTTATGGCAACCTAATTTCAACTAGGTTATCACTTTTTGGTTTTTATTTCTATGGATTAAACTAAAGGTAAACTCAAAAGAGTTATTTTCGTATTCTGCCATGTCATGTGGAATTTGATAGAGAACTTCCAGTACAGATGTGCTTCTGTAGTTTCATTTTAATAGTTATCATTGCTTCTTTTTTGTTCTATAGGCATTGCTTTTTCTGGCATTGCTCTTTTGCTTTTTACTCATTCCAGTGAGCTAACAGTGAAGCCTAAAAAAATTACAATTAAGGTGCTAACAGGTCTTTCCTGTATTGCTGATCTTTTAACAGAAACACAGTAGATGGCAAATCCAGTCTGTTTTCCACTGGTTTTCCATGTCTCAGAAGCCTCTGCTTTGCATTGTGCTTTCAAGGCTGTTTTCCTCAAGCTCTCTAATAATCTAAAAATTAAGTGATTACATGAAACAGACACTGGCATATTGAAAACAGGATCACATGCAGTGCAGTTCTGATTGACAGGATTACATTTTATAGTGAATAAAACAAAATCTCAGATTTACAAGTGTATCTCAGAATTCCTGTTAGGATGCAGTTTAAATTAAACTAGAGCCACACATGCTGCAGTAGCCAGGATTGCAGATCTCCTGCCTTGTGATAGACTTCTGTATCTACCAACTGCAGCAGTGTCTGAGCACTTGGATTTTAAGCCATAGAGTTAAGGTCCCCCATAGCTGGAGCTTTCATGCATTGGTGAGAGATTAACATGATCCTAAACCCCAGAAAAATGTTTGTTTAGTATGGATTGGCTACTGAATAACTTGGTGACACATAGTCAGTTGGAATGCTTTGTTCAGGTTATCTCAAAGATGATACAGCAGAAACACTCCCTGAAAAAACAGGGATGAAATTTGTAATTGAGGTCTAAGGAATCCTCTCCCCTGGAGAAGAAGGGAGAGACTGGAACTGAGGAAGAAAATTGTGTATTGACCCTTTTATGTATGAACAGGAGAGACAAGGAAAGGACAATGTGTTTGAAACTAGTTAATGTTTGTACAAGACCTCCCCCTCCCCATATTTCTAACCACTAACAGAACAGAAGTCATTGGGTTTGTTCTATTTACTTTAGTCTTAGATTTAGAAGTTGAAGACACAACACTGTGTGCTTACATTTATTTTTTAAATTTATGTGATATGAAAGGCCAAATGAGAGCAAAGCAGAGCTAGAACTTAATCCTGCTTTACACATACAGAATTCATGAATTATATGCCTTTGAATTTTTTTATAATACATTGATCTTTTCCATGTTTTTCAGGGGAAAAAGAAATTTTGAAAAACTGGATATCAGTAAGTTGACATGAGAAAAAAACCCCCATGTTTTGTGATTGCTTTTTGTCCAAATGAATGGGAAAGTCCATGGTAATCTTTTGTTTCTTCAGTAGGTGGATACTGAACTGGGCTGATCACTCCAGGTCACAGGATTCCAGTAAATTCTGACTCTAACATAAGAATCTAGCTGTGTGGCTTGGTGTGAGGTACTCTAACTTTTTCAATAAGTTGGTACACTGTATACTGATTTTGTACATGTACTAGGCTATGCTGTTAGATCTTTGTGTATTGTATCAAAAGAAGAACAAGTGGAAATAAATTTTGATACTGCTAAGGTCAAGAATAGAAGTCAGCAGAATTAACTTTGCTCAATCCAGTGGGATTTATTTTGTTCAATCATTAATGGATCCCTATCCATCTTTACCAAACAAGTAAATAATGTCTGTTGTGATAGTAGCACCCCCAGGTATATTTCCTTATAAGAGTATGGTAAAGGAAACTTCCCAGTATTAAAAAGTACAAATATCTGCAGCCAGATTATCAAAAATTTACTTACTCTATGGTTCATTGCTATCTGCATAAGAAGTGTGGGAGCAGGACTTTCAAGATACCTAAAATATGGCTTACACTGGAAATGCAAAGTCCAGACAGCATTAAGTATATTATAAGCTGTGAATTGGGACATGATTATAGTAAGGTGTCTATATGCACGTGAATGTTTGTGTGACAAAAGTAAGGAATTTCATATGAATTTTAAGATTTGTTTTTGTGTTGATCTTTCAGCAGCAGTCATTTAGATACAGTTCTCACAGAAGAAAAATCTCATGACCTCCTAAAGCCCTCTCTTGTTGAAAAGCAGGTTTATATTTTCTAGAGGATGCTCTTGTGAAAGTCCATGATCATACAAGGAGGTGCATTTTCAGCTAGCACCAGTGTTTGGATTCAAAAGGCAAAATCTATGCAGCTGATGGTGCATTCAGTATAGAATCATAGAGGGACCATGATGAGGACTCATATGCCTGATTTTCAGATACCAACTCAGACACAACTTTATTGCTAATTATAACACTCCAGGGCAAGCAGTGTCAGCTTACCGTGGAGGAATAGGTAGGGCGGGGTTCTGGCATGCACAGCTTGTCAGATGTGGGGCAGTCAAGCACACGAGCCAAAATGTAATACTCAGACATCAAATTACCAGATAAAGTTCATGAGCAGGAGCCCTGGAGGCATTTGTACCTAAAGATATAGAAAGATGTGAGACACTTCCTTTGGAAAGGCAGGCTGCCGCTTTCCAAAATGGACATGGAAGTGGATTGGAGCCTTTTTCTTGACACAGACAGGAAAAAAACCCTTGGAGAGCAAGTCACAGGGCCAAAATCTCCGAGGTGGTTAAGCCATTTTAAAACAATTTTTGGACTTTTAAAACAATTTTTGGACTGGAGCATATTAAATAGCGTTCAGAACCTAGATTTCAGTGCTTTCTGAGCAAGAAACTTTTTTTAATATTCTTCAAAGGGTTGACTATGAAATTGTATTTTAATAGTCTAAAGAAATTTATTATGAGATACCGTAGACTATACTTTTGTATAACATAGAAGATATGTTATTTAGCTTATTTATATGTGAAATATTAAATAAAAAGGAGAATAAACAGATGAGTGGAGAGCAGTAACAGCAGTGAGATGAGGCAGGTAAATTTCAATCAAATAGCATCTGCAGCTTGATCTAAAAAAGGCAGTTCATTATTAAAAAATGCAGTTCATTATTAGAAAAGGAACACACAAGATTTGTATTTCTAGTTCAATTATTTAAAACTATCTGCATAAAAATGCTGTTGGAAATGTGGATAATTAGAAAAGGTGTTTGCACACAAATGAAGAGATCGTACAGGTGTGTAGAAGATATCTGGAGAAAGTTCAGGAATAGTCCTGCAATACCTCAGGGAGCAGGTAACCTTGATAATAGACTGCTTTTGTTACAGGAGAAGATGGATTTTAGAATTTCTAAAAGAAGGATACAGTGGTTTTTAATAGGACAAAAGCAAAGTCAGAATAGCAATGCTGATTAGGGAGAAAATGAAGGCATTTTGAAAGTAAATGACTGTAGACAGTATTGGAGGCTGGTAATTAGTATTTCTTTCCTAGGTGCTTGAGTGAATGCCAATGTCTTAATAGTGACTTACCTAGAATATTTTACCTTTGCAACACAGAAAATACTTCTCCCAACCTAATATTTATTACACAGCAGGCCACATTATCAGATTCATCCTCTTCTGCAGTGATCCTTCTGCATGTTCAGATGTGAACAGCACAGACCAAGTAAGGCAGCTATATACATTCCATGAACAGCAGCCAGCAATTAGCAACTCATCTGCACTTTTCATTTTGAAAGTCAGCTTCTGAGTAAGGCTGTGAATTCTAGATCCCCTGTCTGCTGCATTGATGCTTTCACTCTGTGTTTGAAATCCATCTGAAATATACTTATTTTCTCCTTCTTAAATTCCTATTTTTTTTTCCCAAGCCAGGAGCTTGCAAGACCCTGTACATAGCACTACCATTT